AGACTGTATGAGGTGCTACGGAACCACGGATCAGAACTCTGCACTTGTTTTGGCCCTCGGGTTGGGTCGGAACCCTTCCCTTTGTCGGTCTCATTCACAAAGTTTCACACACTTTCCCACAGACATGGCCAGGACAGAATTTCTATACCGCCCAAATTCCAATAATTCCAAACAAAACAAAAAGGGAGTCACGTTTTCCCCTCTGCTCGCTGTCCCTGAACAGACTACTCTGGTGACTCCCTGGGTTCATTTCAGCTTCAACTACTTTGGACAGTACTCCAGACCCAACAGACGTTGATCGGTTTTAGGGACGAATGAGGCAAGGCACCGAAGATGGCAGGAAACAGTTTTATTTGGCTGTAGCCAGGTTCAGAGTGTACAGCCTTTGCTGTAATCAATCAATTCCCTGAATCCCGAGTTCAGGGAGTTTCAGAGTTTTATACCCACCATGTAAGGGGAGGGTCTCAGAAGTTCACAGTCTGCAGAAGTTCACATAAAAGCAGATTTTTCTTTCACTGTTTTGGGCAAGTCAACTCTTCAAGGACAACACCTGAGAAGGGGAGAGCTTCTTTCCCCCTTTTTTTCCTCTCCCTGCCAGTTGTTACCAAGGAACCCAATTGTAACTTATCTTAAAAATATAGACATCTCTGTGAAGCCCAGCTCAAGGCCAGAGGCCTTGTTTGCACATTTCTTCAAAGTACTATACTGAATATGTTTGTGAAAAACTAGTAAGGGGTGTCCAGCACCTGGAGTGATGCTATCTTCTCTGCCAGTGGCCAAGTAAAACAGGGCAACAAGAATATAGGAAGTTTATCTACATTGAACTCTTTTGCAGAGTCTCTTTTGCTGACAGTCCTAAAATCAGCCATGGTAAAGATTTCTGGAGAAGCCCAGTTAAGACCTTCCTGTGGAGAGAGGGAGTACCACTTCAACGCTTCAGGGTCTGAGCTGTGGTCTTATTAGAAAACCTGTGGGTGTTCTGGCTGTTCTGGGAACATCTCGTCTCCCCCTAAATTGTGACCTGTGCTTCAACTCCTGTTGGACTGGGTGGCACCTTTGGAAATTTGTATAATATGCTGAGCACTCTCTTCAGGTCCTAGGTGTCTTGTTTCTAAATTTAGCAGCCTGCTCTTTCTTTCCTTTGTCTTTTTTGTCTTGTGAAGAAGAATCAGAATTCTTTGGTTGCCCACTCAACCCCTTCCTACCTCTCCTGATTCTGATTGGTCTGTGGTTCTCTGACCTGTCCTGCTCTGCCCACTGTCTGTTAAGGTATTTGCTTCTATTGCCCCTTGCTGTTTGGATTTTTCTGTGGGTGACCCTCAACTGACCTAATGTCTGCAGATTTAATCTCCTCCTTGTTGGCCCCTTATACTTATTTTTTGCTTTTTGGTATTCGGGATCAAATATGCCTCACACTCTTAGGCAAGAACCCTACCACTGAGCTATGCCCCTAGGACCTTAGTAGAGCTTCTTAATGTTTGTGCCTCTGTATCATTTAGAAAATGAAATAATTTTGGGGCTGGGGTGATGGCTCAGGGGTAGAGTGCTCGCCTAGCATGCATGAGGCACTGGGTTCGATCCTTGGCATCACACAAAATGAATTAATTTTATTTTACTATATTGTGAAAACAAAGAGTTTTTTTTTAAAATTCAAGTGATGGAGAAAGATCTCATTAGGAAGTACTCGAGAAAATCATATCTAATGTGATTCTAGTGTTAATATTTTCATAGTTAATTTGAGGATATCACCCTGGATTTGTGTTTACCATGCA